CTTTTCCCCCCTATTTTTACCTTCAGATGATGCTCGCTTAATTTTTAATAACACTTCATTCAATTATAATACTATAATTTTCATATTCATTTATTTCGTCAAAATAGTATTAAACTGTATTATTGACCATTTATCATTTACCAGCCATAACATAAAAATAATCATCAATTTATCTGTATCTGTCAGAATTTTAATATAAGAGCATTCATATAATTGTTATATATACACCGTTACCGTGATATTAAATTACTGTTTCTATAATGTAAGATTTTTAATTTTGGATATACCTCCCTCCAACCCCTAGCTAGTGAATTGCCACTAAGTATGTTTTCAATCAAGTATTGACACTTTTTACCAGCAAACCAAGTCTCTCTTTCAGGATGTGGCCGCTCTCCTCCTCTAATGATTGCTGGTGGAAGAGTGTTTGTTTTTCCCTGCATTCAGCAAATCCAGCGGTATGTATAGAATTACAATAGAAGACGGATTATTAGAACGTGTTAGTGCAAGAACACACTTGCATAGGAACCTTTTTTTTTTAAACCAGGTGCTGCAGTGCATGTCAATAATGTAATTCCAGAGAAGAGTGGGAGTCCCGGGCCTCATGAGCGATGAGGTGGCCCTGTGTGCAATAAAGACTCCACTTGTGTTTACATTCCTCTCCACATATACATGGCAAGGATTAATGAATCACTCAGTCTTTAAAGAATACTTTCTTCTCATTTTGTAGATCACTGCGGATCACTGCAGTAGTTTGAAGATTACTGCGGATGAATTTGCCTTAGCTTCACATAGTCTTGATAATTTGATTACTGTACATCAGCAGTCACATCTGTGAGGTCAAGCTCAGCCATCATTGTGCAGAACTATATGAGGGTGTTGCTTGATTTTGGGGGCGGGGCTATCTATTTGCCCAAATAATGGGAGACAATAGATACAATGGGTATAGCAAAGAATCACCTCCCTTTAAAATAATAACGTTTTGTTGCTTTGCAGCCTGAAATGAAGACGGACATAGTTTTTGTTTTATCCAGCTGTATTTACTCAGTGCAACTTATAATGTCCAAGTGAAAGATTTGGTTATGGGAGCTTGTATTAAGGGTAATTGTGATTTTTTTTTTCTCGCAATGCTGAGTTTATGTCTCATAATTCAGACTTGCACTTGCCTTTGTCAAATCTGCCTTTGTTTTTTTTTTTGTTGAAAAAATACTTTGACTACTTTTTCACTCGTTTTTCTTTGCTCCCAGGATCTCTCTCAATACTCTGACTCTGAATGTGAAGAGTGATAAGGTCTACACCAGACATGGAGTACCAATCTCAGTAACGGGCATTGCTCAGGTTAGAGAGACACATTTTACACTCATCTGTTGCACACATCTGTTGTACAGTCTGTAAGTGCTGCTGTTCATGTGTACTGCAGGTGAAGATCCAGGGTCAGAATAAAGAAATGCTGGCCGCAGCCTGTCAGATGTTCTTGGGGATGTCGGAGGTTGAGATTGCTCAGATTGCCCTGGAGACCCTTGAGGGACATCAGAGAGCCATTATCGCCCACCTGACTGTGGAGGTACTGCCATGTGCTAAAAGAGCTGTTTGTATTCTGTATCACACACAAAGAGATGGAAGAATCAAGCTTTTTATAAGAAGATGGCAAAGGCGACTGGAGGGTTTTAGTGCTGAAATCAACAAGCAACCTTTGTTGACTAAAACATTTGATGTGCAACTAACTGTACTGCTGCTGTTAGCTGTTTATTTGTTATTTATTGTACAATCTCTCTTTCTTTCTCTCTGTAGGAGATCTATCAGGACCGTAAAAAGTTCTCCGAGCAGGTCTTTAAGGTGGCTTCCTCTGACCTGCTCAACATGGGGATCGGTGTTGTCAGCTACACGCTCAAAGATGTGCATGATGATCAGGTGACTATAATCATGCAGCACACACCCTAACATACAGTACCATTCAAATGCTTGTGGTCCATAACTTATAAATATATTAACATGTAGTAAATAGATTTTAAAATGTAGTTTATTTTTGTGATGGCAAAGCTGAATTTTCAGCAGCCATTTCTCCAGTCGTCAGTGTCACATGATACTTCTGAAATCATTCTAATATGCTGATTTGCTGGTCAAAAAATATCTTATAACAGTTGTGCTGCTTAATATTTTTCAATATTTTGATGCATAGACAGTACAAAATAACATCTTTCTGTCACTTTTGATGAATTTAATGAGTCCTTGCTGAATAAGTGTTAATTTCTTCCAAAAAGAAAATCTTACTGACCTCAAACTTTTTAAAAGGTAGTGTATAATCGTAATGTATATGTATGTGTATATATATCACTCAACCGAAACTCACTTGAACTTTCTCACAGAATTATCTAAGCTCGCTGGGTAAAGCTCGTACCGCTCAGGTGCAAAGAGATGCCCGTATCGGTGAAGCTCAGTTCAAGAGGGATGCCGTCATCAGGGTGAACGTTTTTCTTATTTCTGTTATCATTGTGTGACGTTGGTGTCGAATAAAACTATGATAAAACTGTTCATGTGTGTGTTTGTGTATGTAGGAGGCTCACGCCATGCAGGAGAAGATCTCTGCTCAGTATAAGAATGAGATTGAGATGGCTAAAGCCCAGAGAGACTTTGAGCTGAAGAAAGCCGCCTATGACGTGGAGGTCAATACCAAGAAGGCAGAGTCTGAAATGGCCTATCAGCTTCAGGTACCAAATGATCTTCAACTTGGTTTTCAGCTGGTAACACGAGGGTTGGCAGTTTACTGCAAACTGTTTGGCTGGTTAATGTTTCATGTAAAACTAGGCAGGTACAACAAAAACGACAATTAAGTCACATCTACTGACATTTTTACTGCCATCATCTGCATCAGGTGGCCAAGACAAAGCAGCGCATCGAGGAGGAGAAGATGCAGGTTCAAGTCGTGGAGCGTACGCAGCAGATCACTCTACAGGAGCAGGAGATCACCCGCAGGGAGAAGGAACTGGAGGCCAAAGTCCAGAAACCAGCTGAGGCCGAGAGATACCGCATTGAGAAGCTCGCTGAGGCAGAAAAGTGAGAACTGAGGAACTAATGCAGCGCTACACAAACATTGGGGTCCAAATGTTTTGGTGTTTTGTCTAATTTAACACAAATTTGTGCTTCAGTGGAAGCAAATCTGAAGAATAGAACTCATAGCTTGGTATGATAATCTCAGGGGGGAAAAAAACATTTAGGCCTGGTTTCACAGACAGGGCTTAGACTAAACCAGGATTAGGCCATAGTTCAATTAGGACATTTAAGTAATTTTTCATAAACTCGCCTTAGAAAACACATTACTGGTGAGCATCTTGAGACAAAACAAAGGCACTGATATATTTTAAGATCAGTCAGTGCAAGTTTCTTTCAGTTGACACAGCTCAGACTTACATTTTAGTCTGGGACTAGGCTTAAGCCTTGTCTGTGTAACCGGGGGTTAATGTTCTCTTATCTAACAGGCTTCAGTTGATCATGGAGGCAGAAGCTGAGGCAGAGGCCATCAGAGTGAGTTCATGAATCTTGTTTCTTGCCGGTGAAAATGAGCGTTACTATTCTCATAAGATGCATACCCCGCTCAACATTCATCTTTTTCTGTCTGTCTTTCAGATGAGGGGAGAAGCAGAGGCCTTTGCACTGGAGGCAAAGGGTCGGGCTGAAGCCGAGCAGATGGCCAAAAAGGCAGAAGCCTTTAAGCAGTACAAAGAGGGAGCCATGGTGGACATGCTGTTGGAGAAACTCCCACTGGTTAGTGCATCTGAAATTTTGATTGTCCATGAATATGTTCAATGATAACCACTCAATAATGGCCTCCACTCCTCTAGATGGCAGAAGAGATCAGCAAGCCACTCTGTGCAGCCCAGAAGGTCACCATGGTGTCCAGCGGTGGGTCAGAAGTGGGCGCAGCTAAGCTGACAGGAGAAGTTCTGGAAATCATGACTCGCCTGCCGAGCGCAGTGGAGAAACTGACTGGAGTCAAAATCTCACAGGTGACCAGACTCACGTCAGCAATGAAATCACTTTAGTGCTGGTATCAGGCAGCAGATCACTTGAGCTGCAGCGTCTGCATTCACAGTGATAGTTGCTGTAGTCATTGAAAATGGAACTAGGGAATACATATACCATTTTACTTGTAGTAAATATCAGTAGAAGTCTAGTTAAAAAGAATCAAGGCATATTTTCCATGCCGTTTCTTCACTAAAATAAATACAAGAAGAAGGAATGATATTTAAGTTTTTTATATTTATAGTTTATATTTTTAATATTATTATATGCACCTGTATTGACAGTACATAATGACAAACAGCAATATTTTCCAGCATTTATTTGTTACTGAAACATTTGAATTAAAAACATTTAATTGAAATAGACAGTTTGAACTGATTGAGGAAAATGTATCGAACTTAACTACTCTAAAAATGCTATTAAATATATTTTAAACTTGGCCAAATAAATAGCACAGTTAAATCCTTGTGATATTTCATGTTGCAAAATTGTTTTGTAATTAGCTACATCTTTGTACATTTTCAATATTTTAAGTAGTTCTTATTGAAAATGACTTTATTGATTAAAAACCCGTGCCTGTGTGAATGCCCCTTAAGATTGCATACAGTAAAAATTGCTTTAAAACACACCTGCTCCAGCCACACTACATTTTGTTAACTTTTGTTTTGGTCAGGTTGTTTCAACCCGCATGGGCTAATGGAGTTCATGAGGAAGGAATCGGGTCTGATCAGCTCTGATCGTGGATCTCAGCTCTTCCCGTCTGTGTGCATGCCTGTGTTTGTACTGAACCTGGAACATTGAGCTCCTTTTTGTTTTTGTAATCCACCATTTGTAACATTCAGTTTTTATATTCTAGTTTGTAAATTGTTATTTTATCACATTATATGATCATTTTATAAGTTAGGTGTACTACATCATCTGCTCCAGCCACTGTTAACGGTGAATATTCAGGGAAGCAGGGCTGGTCTTCCTTTCATTTTTTGAATGGTTTCTGTATTTCTTGTCTGTCAAAGCCACACGCATGTTGATTCTGGTGCAGTTTCTTTCAAAACCAAAGTGCATTCAAGTCAAATGCATGTAAATTCACTTGAAGTGCATTACTGAAGCCATAGTCCACGTGCATGATGCCTCACGTCTGCAGACACTGAAATGTGACGCTTTCTTGCAGTTTTAAGGTTTGTCATTCAATGGTCTGTGCAGGCCTTTTCCTTTAAACAGTGGCACAGTTTGCAGACATATTGAAAATTATTTGGAATATAATACATTTTTTTGTTACTGTCTGTGTGCTCAGTAAAGTGATTTATACAGCAAGTTGAAAAGTAAGATGGGGTGGGAAGTGTGTGAAGAAAAGAAACCCTTTGATTTTTTGAAGCTGATGAACAAACAGGAAAAAAGAAGAGGAAACTGGTTAGTTATTAAACGCAGGGTGTAAGTATGTCTCTCTGCCCACAGAAACTCCAGTGAAGGCTGATGGTGGTTTCATTTCTCATATCACTGTGAAAAAAATGAAGTTAGTCTTTTTGTTTTGCAATGCTGCTGTGTACTTCACACTAAAATCGACTCAACATCACCAAAGGTAAACCTATGCATGTACAGTTTATGCCTTCAAAGTGCCTCAAGGCTATTTTTACTTCCTCCCTGATCAGCCTGCTCTGATTGTGTTTCAGCAACAGGAACTGTGATGTGTCATGTGATACTTCCTGGCCTTAATTTCGTTAAGAATATTCCATTTGTTTGCCATCCGTTTGTTTTTTATGGTGTAAAGCCTCATTGTTTTTATATATGACATACTAATCCAATTTTTGCCTTACTGTGTGTTCACTGGTGATGTACTGTAGATATATTCACCTTAAACTGAAGATCTCTATATCCAGGCTGAGATTTATACATATTATGTACTGTTTATTGTAAACAAATAAACTATTAGTGTGTAACTTGTCAATTTATGGCTTTGTCTGAATGTGCGCGTTTCCACAAATCTATGTTTAGCATTTAATGCTGTCTGAATATGAATGCTAATGTGAAATGACACTACTCAAAATCAGCAAATTGTGTTCGAGCATAAGCGAAAATGAGGATATCTCTTTATGTGAAAAGGTTACTTTATTAAAACACCTACAAAAATAGACACCGGCAATGACTCTGACTAACACAAGCAGGGAGTCTAAAACAGAGACAGACCCGATTAATAACAGATGGCAATATTAATGAAGAAAATTATGTCCCATGAAGTATTTACATTTTTCATTATTGATGAAACATGAATAGCTGAGGACAGAACATGCCCAAAACTATATTTATAAAAATACAATAAAGGTTCAGGGCCTCGGTGTACCAAAAAAAAAAAAGATTAAAGGTCATTCAATAAGCATAATCAGCATGGTAATATAACCATTTGGGAATCACATTCTTCTGTGTATATTACAGTATATATGTTGCTCTCCTCTCCACCCCCACCTACACACACAGTCTTACTCTTAAATGAGGAAGAGGTGGAGTCACCACACACCAGGTTCAAGTTAAATCTACAGTCTGCAGTATGCAATTACGTACTGTAGCTTTAAGAGAGTTTCCTGCAAGTGTCCTATAGGTTTACACAGTAAATTCAGGACAAATGCTTTGCTTATTTCTCATTATATAGGCAATAACTTTGTCACTCTTATTGGTATACATATACATGACTGCTTGTTTTTTTCCTTTCTCTAAATTCTTCCAGGCTCACGCATTTTGATTTCTGGTGAGTCCAGGCTCATATTGAAGTCAGGTGGTTTCTGATTGGCTGTCAGTGTTTTTAATGTTTATTTTATTGTTAAAAAAAAATTATTCTGAAACTGATTCTAATGATATTGTTTTGTGTCATTATCTTTGTAGTTGTGGTGTGGACATTGACAGCCAATCAGAATCCACCCAGCTTTACAGAGCTTGAGTATTTAAAGTGGACGACAATATAACTGCAGCAAGTGCTTATAATAAAGAAAACATTGTCATCTATTGGTGTGGATGCTTTATTGTTATTGTTATGGTCATTGTTCTTGGTGTGAACAGGCCTTTATAGTCAGTGAAGGAAGGAGCGACTCTAAATGTTGAGATAACTGAGGAAAGGCCCACTCAAACCAAGTACGATAGCTATACCAACACACGATAATGCTCGGTTTATTATAAGCACAGGCAGCAGTTTTGTCTTCTGCAACTGCTTAAGCTCCTTAAAGCCAGATTCTGAATTTCTGTCAATGTCATCAGCTGGAAATGGGACGATTATTATAAAGTAATTGTAGTTATTGTCCTTGGTGTGAACAGGCCTTAAGGGACCATTTATGTGCAGACATACAGGGGCGGAGTCACAAATATAATTTTTTGTTTTGGCTGAATTTGATAATATCATGTAACAAGCCCGTGTTTTACATATCAGCATTGATGTACATAATTATAGAACATTTTGAATACACACCAAAAGCTCTTTTAAACGTGTTATTGACGTTTATCGACCCTTTAAATGGTTCTCCAAGAGGTCAAAAAAACTAATTCATATCATTGAGATGAACATGTCTCACAGTGTTGAATGTTTAATGATCTGTGAGCATTTCCTAATGATGAATTAATTACCCTCCACCACAGAAAAGACATGAAAAAGATTCTCTACATGAGCACGAATGCTAGCAAATGTTATTCACTATTTTCACTTAATATGCAAGTAGAAAAAATATTTCTGCTATAGTACGTTTTAATACGCATAATCAATAATCTGTCAAATGTTCCCTGTAGAGAACTATGACTAACTGGACAGTTTGTAGAGCCGTGTGCTTTTGTGCTGCCTGTCATCTAGCTATGAAACCCTCCACCAGTTCATATGATCATGTTTCGAGACCTATTCAGACAGTTTGATACAGGTTAGAGGACTGGGATTTAAGGTTGAGACACCAAGCAACATTTTATCCTAAAATCAATCACATATTATTCCTGATAGCCCATCGTCAGCGCTTAGTCATCATTACTGGACCTCACAGAACACAAAAGACTTCAGTTTTACAGCAGGAAACATTTAGAGAGAGGTTTCATTCTCAGGTTCACAGAGAAAATATGAGGCAGAATAATGTTTCAGGAAAGAAAGGATGACTCGGCCAATTCTGTGGTGCATTCTGGGAAATCTGTGCTCTGTGAAACTAAATACTGTGGAATAGTGATAAGTATTGATAGCGGGGGGGACAGCGAGTCTAAAAATGATTTGGGGATAAAATGTTGCTTGAAGAGTTCAGGATAAAGAGTGAGAAGTGGGTCATTTAGGGGCACCGAACCTGCAGCTTTTATTCGCCCCAACCCATCTATCAAAAAATACACAAATTTACATAAGAGTGCTTAGCCGTGTCTGCTTAAAAACACACCACCAGTCTGTGGTCCACACATGCTTTCTTACATTCTTCCGCTTTTCATCTCTCTGTCACTTTCTAAACCATGTTCATGGCATCTTCGGTGAGGAAGGAGTGAATGTACGCAAAGGAAGGCCGTAGTTTACAGTCTCTGCTCCAGCAGCCAAGCATCAGCTCATACAAACCCTGTGGGCACACAGCCGGGCGAGACAGGTACACCTGATCGAGAGAGAGAGAGAGAGACTATGCTTATTTTTTTCTTATGAGGGTTAAAAATGTTAGCAAGCACACATACCTGTCTGCCCTGGTCTCTGAAAAACTCCCCAGCGTTGTCAATGACCTGTTCATCGGTCATGTGACTGTACGGCTGCTCCTGACACACACTCAGCATCTCCCACAGCGTCACGCCAAACGCCCACACGTCACTCGCCGTAGTGAACTTCCCCTACACACACAAAAATTGACCGACATTCAGGGAACCAGTATTATGCACATTATGAGCTAATACATTTGTATATGGATATGACATGTTGCTGATGTAATTTCATTATATACAGTGGGGTCCAAAAAAAGGAAGAAACATGATAAAATGAGAAATATTTAAGATTTGTGATAAAAAAGTATTTTCTAACAATACCAAATTCTAAAATTAATATTATTTTCAATTCAGTTGTAATACATGTGTGACCCTGGACCACAAAACGGTACATTTTTTATATACCATCTGGACAATATTTGGCTGAGATACAACTATTTGAAAAATCTGGAATCTGAGGGTGCAAAAAAATCTAAATATTGAGAAAATATTGAGAAAATCACCTTTAAAGTTGTCCAAATGAAGTTCTTAGCAATGCATATTACTGATCAAAAATTAAGTTTTAATATATTTACAGTAGGAAATTTACAAAATATCTTCATGGAACATGATCTTTACTTAATATCCTAATGATTTTTGGCATAAAAGAAAAATCAATAATTTTGACCCATACAATGTATTTTTGGCTATTGCTACAAATATACCCCAGCGACTTAAAACTGCTTTTGTGGTCCAGGGTCACATATTTCAGGTCAGAAATATAATTCTGATAAATATAAATTAAGTAATTAAATATATCTTAATTGTGGTAATGCAAATTGATTTATTTAAAAAATTGAAATTGTATTTATTAAAAAATAAAAAAAAGATGTGCAAAATGTTATAATATCATAAATATTAATAAACAAATATAAATGAATGGATTAAATATATCTTCATTATGGTAATGCAAAAAAGATTAAACATCTCTCTAGTTTTAGATTAAACATCTCTAGTGGTCCCGGACTTTTTGAACCCCATTATATATACTGTATTGTTATTTATTAATAAATAAAAAAGATACACAAAATGTTATAATATTATATTTCCTTTTTATAAGATAATACATAATAATAAATATTAATTAGTAAATATAGATTAATCACTAGTGGTCACAGACTTTTGGACTCCATTATAAAGATTGTATTTTTATTTATATACAAAACATTTTATATAAGATTTCTTTATTAAAAGATATCAAATGTCAAGTCTAATAATAAATATTATTTAATACATATGAATTAATGAAACATATCATCATTATAGTAACACAGAGGAGATAACAATAAATAAAAAAAGTTGTCACTAATATTCCTCTGTTTTCATTTATTTGTTATAGAAAAAAGTTTGTGTTCTCACCATGAGGATGCACTCCCATGCCATCCAGCGAATAGGCAGCACAGCTCGTCCCTGTATCCTGTAGTAATCGCCAGCATAGAGGTTCCTGCTCATGCCAAAATCAGCTATCTTTATCTGGCGCTCTCCGCCGCGGTCCTCCCCCTCACCCCTCTCTCCACCCACCAGGCAGTTCCGTGTGGCCAGGTCGCGGTGCACAAAGTTCAGAGACGACAAGAACTTCATTCCTGATGCGATCTGACTCGCCATGGAGATCAAAGCTGGGTAGCTGAGACAGAAAGAGACATTTAACCTCCCACACTATGAGAAATGCATTTCTATTAGATTCTATCATTACTTGATATTGTCGTTGTACTGTTCTGTGTGTTTGTGCACCTGATGGTTGGTGTATTATGTGAAGGGCCGGTCTTGTCCAGCAACACTCGATGGGAGAGGTACTGATTGAGGTCTCCACTCTCCATGTACTCTGTGACCATACACAATGGGTCGCTGCTTACACACACACCCAGCAGGCAGATTATGTTCGGATCCTTCAGGCGAGATAAGATCTTCACCTCCTTCAGAAAATCATTCCTGTTGAAAGAAGAGCATGAAAAGAATGAGTAACAAGAGAAGGGGAAAGGACAGAACATTAAAGGGAAAGTTCACCCAAAAATGAACATTTTTGTCATCATTTACTCACCCTCATGTTGTTCCAAACCTGTATAAGTTTTTTCCTTATGTTGAACACAAAAGATGATATTTTGAAGAATTCTGAAGAACCAAACAGTTGTTGGCCCCACTGACTTCCACAGTAGGGAAAAAAATACTATAGAAGTCAATGGGACCATCAACTGTTTGATTTTCAGCATTCTTCAAAATATCTTATTTTATGTTTAACATAAGAAAGAAACTCATACAGGTTTGGAATGACATGAGGGTAAAATGATGACAATTTAATTTTTTGGGTGAACTATCCCTTTAGGATATGAAGTGTATGAAGAATTTGAGTTTACTACAGTTTTATAAAATACACAACAGGTATTGTTTTACAGGTGACAAACTTTTCCAACCAAATCTTAAAATTATTTACAAAGCATATGCAACAAAAAGATAATACACCCTCGTATGTCCCTCTACACCCAAAGTGTACTAATATATCAGGGTTTTTTTTTTTATTTACACAAATTAACTTTTTAATTGCTAAAATGGCAGTTCATTGAGGCATTCAAAATAGCATTAAAAATATTTTTAAAAAGTAATAAAAATAAAAAATAAAAACGAAATGAATACAAATTAATAAATTCTTCTTCTTTTCATTCATTCATTCATTCATTCATACCAAATCAAAGTTAAGTAACATTTTTTTGTCATGTTAAAACATGACTTGCATTGTTAAGGTCAGATGGAGTAACATTTAAAAAACATCACAATATTTATGACATAATATTTATAAAACTATAATAATAATATATTGTTTCGATAATAATTCAGTTACCTGGCATTTTTAGAGGCATCTGGCCTTAAAATCTTCACAGCCACCAACAGAGGACACTCGATGGGAGAGGTACTGATTGAGGTCTCCACTCTCCATGTACTCTGTGACCATACACAATGGGTCGCTGCTTACACACACACCCAGCAGGCAGATTATGTTCGGATCCTTCAGGCGAGATAAGATCTTCACCTCCTTCAGAAAATCATTCCTGTTGAAAGAAGAGCATGAAAAGAATGAGTAACAAGAGAAGGGGAAAGGACAGAACATTAAGATATGAAGTGGATGAAGAATTTGAGTTTACTACAGTTTTATAAAATACACAACAACAGTTACTGTTTTTCAGCTCAAGAACTAATCCAACCAAATCTGAAAATTTGGCACAAAACATATGCACAATAAAATAATACACCCACATATGTCCTTTTACACCCAAAGTACAAACTAATATATAGTTGTTGTTGTTTTTTTTTACACAATTTAACTTTTTAATTTCTCAAAATGCCAGTTAATTGAGGTATTCAAGCTTTTTTTTCAGAAACTTCTCGCCAGAAAAATGTTAGAAAACATTACATTTATAAAACTATAATCTATAAAAACTATATCCATCCATCCCTCCCTTCATCCATCCATCTATCTACAGTATCTATCTATCTATTTATTTACCTACCTACCTATCTACACACATTTATTTTATCATTTGGAAAATAATGATCAAGTGTATTTTATTATATATTTTTTTGTACAATTCAATACTAATACAGTTTACCTGGCATTTTTAGAGGCATCTGGCCTTAAAATCTTCACAGCCACCAGCAGAGGGCGCCCTTTCCTGACATTAAATGGGAACTCAAGGTTTTCAAGGTCCTGGGGGTCTTCAATTTCACACAGATGAACCTAACAAGGAAACGTACAATATATAGCCTGCTACAAAGGGAACAATATTATTTAAATAGTCTGCTTTTGGACACACAATAAGGTTTTTGAATAAAGAATTTCATGAAGCTAAGAGAGGTGTGGGAATGTTTAATGTTTATGTAATCCAAAGTTGTACCTCTCCAAATTGTCCTTCTCCCAGCTTTTCTTTGAATATAAGTCGTTCCCGTGGCAACTCGGGCAGTGGTGGACAATCAGTGGGTGTGGCTGAGAGGGCGGGAACTGCATATGTATTGTTACCACTAACGCCTTGCAGACTAATGATGTCAGCTTCGGCATAATGAGGAACACTGCCCCCGCCTCCTGATGCTTCTCCATAATGAGCCCCTGACAGGCCAGGGGGCGGAGCTCCAGGGTAAGGAGGTGGTCCCTCCTGAATGGGTAGGCCTTTATCAACCATATCAACAGCACATGCTATGAGGAAAAAAAAAAGGTACAAACGAAAAACTTATAATAGAGAGCCATATTACATAATAATAATAATAATAATGAGCAATTATGAACTGCACACATGCACTTAAACACTCACATACACAGGAGAGGACACATTATGTACATGCATACTGTGATATGATTGGCTGTCAGAAGACAGCAAGAAAACACTAACATACTCCCATGGGCTCATATGGTACCTCATCCCGGACAAAACAAAATACTACCATTTTGGAGTGTTTTGGCCCTGTATACTTAAAACAAACTTTTACTTTTACTCTCTATAATTTATTTAGTCTGGGGTCAGTAAGATTTTTTTTTAAAGAAATGAATACTTTTTGTTCAGCAAGGACAAATATCTGATCAAAAGTGACAGCAAAAACTTGTACATTGTTACTAAAGATTTCTGTATCAAATAGATGCTATTCTTTTGAACTTTGTATTCAAATAATCTGGTTTCCACAAGTATATTAAGCAGCACAATTTTTTCAGCATTGTCGATATCGATAAGAAATGCAGCTTGAAAATCAAATCAGCATATTAGAACGATTTATGAAGGACCATGTGACACTGAATTCAGCTTTGACATGACAGAAATAAATTACATTAAATAAAATGTAGTAAATAGTTATTTTAAATTGAAATAATGTTTCACAATATTTAGGGATGTAACCATTAACCGCGAGCCGGTTGAAAATCGATTTAAATATGTGACGATTCAAATCGGTTGGGATGCTAAACAAATCGCAATTCAATTAGGGGTAGAAGTTTATATGAATATATGTCTGAGAGGAACTTACTTGCGTCTTTCGATGGTATTTTTGCTTTTCCTCTTGCCTCTGTATAATGCATATTAAAATTCATAAGTGCAGGCTGTGCAGCGCTGCTTTGTTTACAGCGGAAACCAAGGAAACGCTTTAAGCGCCACCTGCTGGCAGAGTGAATCTGCGTCTCATTCAGCTCATCTGCTGTTTCTGTTTCATGCAGATATTTTTTATGCATAGTTTCACAAAACTGAAGTCAAACCATTCTGTTTTTGCTTTAAATTTCGAAATTATACAATCCAATTTAGATTCAAAACTGTTCATGTTGCATGTATACAGCATCTTTGTTTGGACTGTGATTAAAATGCAGTGGTTGCCTCTAATTTTAAATGGAAAGAGCACAGACAAAGCCTTAGTTTGTTTATATGAAGAGATTTCTTTTATTTGTGTTACTTATTTATTTGATTTGGGGCTTGTTTTAAAATTTCAATGTAGTTTTATTATTTACATTTACATTATATTTAAATTTAGTTATTTAGCAGACGCTTTTATCCAAAGCGACTAACAAATGAGGACAATAGAAGCAATCAAAACCAACAAAAGAGCAATAATTTACAAGTGCTATATTAGTATATTATTATAGTTTCATATAGAAATTTATTTCAATTTCACAAAGAAACGTACAGTGTTTTGTCCAAGCAATAATAAAAGGACACATTTAATTTATAATTTGTCTTAAATCTCATTTTGTTTAAAAAAATTGTGAATCGAATCGTGAGTTGAGTGAATCGTTACATCCCTAGCAATATTTATTTTTTTACTGTATTTTTTCTATATTTTCTATATTCTATACTTTTTTCTTTTTTGATAAAAAAATAGAAGTCAATCATTTTTGATTGCTAAAGCTTTTACAGCTAGAATATATATATTTTAAATAGACTTACTTTATATTTTCCAAATTGTTAATAATAATTTTTTTTTGATACAATTACAGTTTTATTAGAAATGAGACAAAAATTAGTTTGTCATTTTTTCTTTGCACATCACCTTAAGCATAAACTCCACTAACTCTATTGTCTCCATGGTAAACAAGTACATTAAATCTCAATAAACTTTATAATTTACAAAAATGTTTGCTGCGGTGGTAATGAAAAAAATGGCAGATTTAAAAAAAACAAAAACAACCAAGGGCAAATCATTAAATCACTGAACAATTCATGTTTATTTCACTCTGTTAGATCATCTTAGTTTTAAACGTACAAATTCATGATGGATTTTCATATTGTAATTTGACATTTAGGTCTGGGACAAGGGTAAACCACCACAAACTTCAAAGACAATTTTTAATGTCCTTCATATAACAAAAGATACAATTTTAAATCTTTTAGTTTGAATAAATTCAACCCTAGAGACATAAAAGTCCCAGAACCACACTTAAAGAAACACACTTTTATGAATGTTTAATATCCTCTATGCTGTTCTGGGGGCCATTACATGACTCTAACCGTTACCTTTAGGAGTTCAGGGGACTTTAACTTCTCCCTGGGGAGGACACCACCCCTTGCCCCTTTTTTTTAGGGCAAAATGAACCCCTCTCTCTTACCCTGGGACAGGTTTTGGGGCTTTTCTTGCTGGCTGTGGCAGTTTGTCAGCCTGTTGGGGCCGTGTGTCAGGTCAGACAGGAGGAGATGATATGCTGGGTTGTTTAACAGCAGTGCTAGGAGGACACACACACACAAATCCCACGGACACACAAGTCCACGAAGGGTACGACAGTGTGAGCAGACACCACATGACAAAAATGACACAACCACAACCAAACCACAGCACAACACAACCGTATCACAACACGAGACGACACAACAACAAAACACAAACAACAGGGCCGTTAATGGGTGACAGAGCAAACCAGTTACATGTGAGATGCACGAACACAGCAGGCAGTGTTATCATTGATAATTACGCAGGCTGTTAATCATCTGTTCATTGGTCAATCTGTTCTGGGGCATTCGTTTATGTTAATTAATATATGAAAACAATCACAGTGATTCAAAAATTAGCCTAAGTATTTGTCACGAAAGCAACTATGGCAGGAAAAACAGGAACACTTGATTACAAGTGGAGTGTGAGTGAAATAAAATCTCCCTCCCTCCTCTCTCTGTCAGATAGGACAGTGGGGCCCTTTGTGTCTGGGTAGTGGATTGTCCTAAAGTACTTTTTCTGATGTCGTTTTGGCAGTGCTGTTCATTCTCACTGATGACCCGGGTTCCTGTGCACTTACTGAGTGAGGTATATGAATGCTGAGTGTGTGTGTGTGTCACCTGTGCTGTCACGCTGCTCTCGTGGCCGCAGTACAGTGCTGGGCTCCTGGTATTCTCCCTCGCGGTCCCGGTCGTCGGGGAAGGTGTGTATGCGCTGGTAGCGGCTGGAGTATGTGTGCGTGTTAGTGTTATTGATCACCACGTTGTCCAATGGAACCGAAAGATGAACCCGCAGCTCATCGCTGGAGAGGCTGCCTTGAGCCTGGATATGCAGAGACAAAAAGAGCCATGAAATCAAATTTGGAGTTTTGTGGCGTTTCGTCCATGTCTGTTAACTATCTGTATGCTAGTGTACTCCTACAATGCTTTAACAGATAAATGCACATAAAATGCAGTTTTCTATTATGAGAAAATAAATCAAACTGATAGATATTCTGCTTTTATACAAAGGTCTAAAAAAATATTAAATTTTACATTTAATTTATATTTTAGACACATTATTGCCAGTTACTTTGTCTATTTTTGCTCCACCAATGAAAAGTTCCAAACAAAGTCAAAGCAGAATCAACCATTACGTGTCTCAGAATGAATCAGGATGAACCTGAATACTTTTATTCGAATATGTTTACTGAATAATTCAATGCCTCACTCATAAAGATTTACTTGATTTGTTGATGAATTAATCATTGTTTTTGAATAAATCACCTAAAAGAATGATTCAATGACTTATTCATGTAGGGGGAAAAAAATTGGTAAATGTCTTTAATAATAAGTGCTTTTGAATGAACCAGTTGAACAAATCATTGCTACTTGAATAAGTGCTTATGAACAAATCAGTTGAGTGAAGGACTTGCTTATAAAGACAGACAGTCACTTGTCGCCAAGCGCGAACACAGTCAAGTGGAATGATACAAACACTGAAAAGTCCCAGTGCTTTTGAACGGTATAAGAACATAGTAATGAAAAACACCTTGCCAAGTAACTTCTTCCAGTATTGCCTCCAAAGTATGACAGCTATGATAGCCAATAGGAGCAGGATAATTCCAACCAGGCAGCCAATCAGGATGGCCGTGTTGCTGCTGTCATCTTTGGCCACAGGTAACCCCGCCCTTAGTGTGACAGCAGGGAACTCTGTTAATACGAAACACAACAGTTTCAAGATTACATGTGTATGTTAGTCAGACATTACAAATGATTACAAACACCATAAATGAGGCATTTAAAGACCTACAGAGTGTTTAGAGAGTAAAACCAAAGCTTATCTGTCCATTACAGCCATATTTTAATCTCAGTGCTGGGTGAGGCAGTAATAAGTAAACGCATTCATGGTCATTTACACACTTTCTGTGATTTGACTTGCTTTCTTATACACTCTGTGTGTGTGTGTGTGTGTTCTTATGTCAGTAAATTTAGAAGGCAGCTGTTGTTTTGGGGGACTGTAATAAGCTTTGACAGGAGTAAATGAGCTGTGAGAGTGGGCCCGGTCCTAAAGCTAAGAGAACTGAAGTTAATTCAAAGAGGGATAAGAGCAAGGACAGCTGGAGCGATTTCACAAAGATCCTTTATGAGTTTGGCTATATGAAACACTAACTCAAAACAATAGTGCATTGTTAAAATCAAGGGGAAAAAAACATCAGAATCATGCAAAAAAAATTCTCTCCTGGCTTCAAGGTGGACACACATGCACACGCACGCACAACAACCAACCACATTCTCAAGGCATTTTATGTGAGGGCAGGGTTTTCAAATGCAAAGAAGTTTATAGGGGAGCATCATAAAAGGCCTCTGTACTGGTAAACATGCCATAAAAATCTAAGACGTAAGAACAAGTATGGGAGACAGTACTCTTTTCTTCCCCTTGTCTTTCTCTCTTTCTCTCTCTCTCACCTGTTGGTATGCTGCTGGGCAGCAGTGAAGTAATGGTCATGAGGTGGTCTGGAAAAATGAGGGTGTCAGAAGAGGGAGAATTAGAGAGATAGGGGTGGGTGACACGCAGGGGTGTGAAGTAACGAATTACAAATACTCAGATTACAGTAATTAAGTAGTTTTTATCAGTAATTGTACTTTTTTGAGTAGTTTAAAAATTGTGTACTTTTACTTTTACTGGAGTACTATTGACCGCTCACGCTCCGCTCCGCTCACATGCTCTGGGTGTAACAGAATATGTTGACATGCTTTAATGTTCAAAAAACACATTATTTTTCAAATACTGTACATTATTGTAGGTGAGATATAAATAACTCCATGTGTTTATATTGTAATTAAGTGATGTATCGGTACTTTTACTCCGCTATTTTCCTCAGTTTGTGGTTGTTACATGCTTATTTTAATTACATTTTTATCCATCAACATGATTGGATAGAGAGTAATAGGTCTCGTGACTTTCGTCAAATCAAATTGTGCATAGACCACTCACTTATGAGACGCGCGATCTGCGCTGCCTCGTCTCTCTCTCGCGTGCGCTCTGAAGCAGTCACTTGGATACATCGTTGTTGCTTGTTGAACTTATTGACTTTTGATGAGTTTGAGCGCGTGATGCTCGCTGTGAAAAAGTGTGTTGGAAACACAAATTGAGGACCAAATCTGCACCTTATTGATGACCCTACTCTTACTCAAGTAGTTTTTTGGACAAGTACTTTTACTCTACTCACACTACATTTTTTGGAAGGTAATGATACTTTTACTTGAGTATATTTTTTCAGTACTCTTTCCACCACTGAGTGCTGAAAGGTGAGGAAGGGCAGACTGCCGTTTCAGTTTGTAAAGCTGCATTTTCTCAATTATTCTCCCAATAAACCTCATAAACTGGGTTGGAAATCAAGAACTGGTTTCAGTAAAACGAAAAAACAAACATTGAATTAACAATTAAAATATTATTTATTTAATTTTAGTAGTATTCTTAGTCCAGAGTACTGTTGTAATAAAGAGTCTTGTTGTTATAAAGGGTACTTTTAGATATTTTTTTGTGGTACTGCTTTTGCATTCTAATTTTACCACATATTTCGAACCATTTTGGGGTGGGCTACATCCTTAAAAATAATAAAAGAATCATTAAGGAACCAAAATCATTAAACTCTTTGCGATTCCATTCCAATACTAACAATCAGCACTAATGCAAACATGACAGGGCAGTGCATTGCATACACACTAGTAATGCGGAGGGGTTGACATGCGTCCGACTCACCGGTGGGGCTGCTGGTTCCATTTGCTGGGCTGGGGGTGTGAGAAGTAGCATTGAGAGGACGAGTGCTAGAGGAAGGCAGAGGAGGGAGGAAGGATCCATCCTCAAAAGGCACTGGAGACAAGACAGAGAAAGAAAGAATTAGATAAGCAGGCTTTATCTCAGATCTTATCTACAAACCCATCAAGTACGAGTCTCAAAGTGAATGTGGCACAAAGACTCACTTTTTCTCTAAATTCTTGTTGTCTGGTGTAAGTATCCATTCAAGTCACACTACTATGATCTACTAATAATTTGACATTGACCAACCAATCAGAACCCAAAGTCAGAGGAGTCATTTAGTTGACAGTGCTTTGTTGCTTAGGGCGGTAACTTGAGCTATATTTCATTTAAGATATTTCATTTAAGAAGCCCATAAGGATTAGTGCAATACATTCAGAGAAGTCAAGAATTCCTTTTGAACGATGTGGGAATATTTGCTTTGTGGCAAAGGATCATACTATTCATTCCTTTCCTGCAAGAAAAAAAACCCATCTTAAACCAGTCCAAGCTGTTTTTGTTGGTCTCAGCTGGATTTGGGGCACTTTTAGTAAGCTCGTAACACTGGAAGACCAGCTTGCCAACTAGCTAAACCAGCATACACCAGCTTGACAAGATTGGGAGACCAACTAAACCAGTTTAAACCACAACATTAGGCTGAATTAAGATGTTTTTACACAACTCTCTAAAAAAATTCTCTGATAGGTCAATCGCAGCTCACCTTGGTCAATTGTTTTATATAATGACCGCCAAACTGTACTGTATAATAGAACAATTTCCTACAAAGCTGAGCAAAGCACTCTGTCTTCCCACTTAATAAAACAACTCAAATCAAACAGCCATGCAATATGTGCGATACATAATAAATTGCTACTATATACTTGAAAGTGGCTGCAGAACTGTAATGGCAATGAATCAGTGCACTTTGCTATGAGAGGTCAGGTGTTTGTGTGTTCATACTCGAATAGAAGCTTATCTCGCTGATGAGGAGCCAGCGGTCACTGAAAGAAAAACGGCAGCGGAGAATTTGCGCTGGTCGTCCTCCGAGTGGCAGTGAGATGGTGCGGGACGAAGGGTCGTGTAGGTCAGACAGCGGCACTTGAAGACTGAGCGCAGGCTCTGCCCACGGGCTCAGCAGACTGGCCTTAAACTCACACACCACTTCGTTGAACACCCGCACATGCTGAGTGTGTCTGTGATTACTGTGCACCTGAAACACAGACATTTAAAAACAACTATCTGCAAACAGACACTACAAGACTGCTGGGAACAAAAACAAGGAGCAGTGGAAACAACGGGCATCAGGGAGAAATAAACGGAAGTTATTACTCCACAAATGAAGAAAAAGGAAAGGTACAGGGAGCAAATGAAAGGTGGAAGGCTAGAACATATATAATGTGACAGGTTAGACATTAATGGTGCTGTTAGGTCAATGTGTAACTGCGCACATGTGTGCAAACCATAGACTGTATAAAAACATGGACGTAGTGTCCGTGACGTCACCCGTAGACGGTGCAAACGCTCACTGATACATAAAACAAAACAAACTGCTACAACAGCGGTGGAGGTTGATGCCAAAGCTATCATGTTGACACCTCATAAGTCTCTTTCTCTCTCTCTCACACACACACACACACACCTTGGTGGGAAATGATTTTGTAAACAAAATAAAGACTGTTCGAGTAAGTTTTAGAAGAAAATACTATTTCAGTCTTTCAACTTAAAAATCTCACATTTATTTTAATGTGTTACTTGCTTCTATTATTTGTGAAATTTATTAGCAAATTCAGAGTGAGAACTGTTTTAAAGTAAATCCTACACTGATTTATTCTCAATGTGTGGCAAACTTTGCACTGGAGTTCCTGAAGCAATGGGGGGTTGATTTGTACAGGAAACGTGCCGGTGAGACTGGTGGTATTCTGAAACGGCAGGAATACAGCCGGAAATACTCTAAACAAAGGTCTGAGAAAGTGAGCAGAGGGAGGCAACATAAATCATCTTGCAAAGGCATGCGAACAAGTGCTTGTTGTTATGGAAAATGTTTTAATAGGACACCTGGTCCTTTTTCTTAGTATCTTTTGGGAATCTGCTGCAAGACTTGCAGGAAGCAAACATTAGAGGAAGTGTTTAAAACACTGGGAAGCCACAGGAAAAACAGGGCGACATGGGAGGATGATGGCGTTTGTGAATTGTGTTAAGTCAGAGAGAAATAAGAGAGAATGCCCTCTCGAGACCAGAAAAAGCCAGAAGTGGTACAAACAAATCTGCATTCCTGGTCAGAAAGACCCTTAAAAAAATGACAATGCACTCACACAAACTCACATACACGCAAATAACAAACAACAGAAATAATTATGACGCCACAAATTGGATAACAAAACACTCGGATGCCACTCAGAATCACACACGACCACAAATGCAAAGCCACAGGCAGAAAGATGAACAAAAACAAACCAAATGTTCATTAAAGGGTTGAAGGATAATGACAGACTCCTGAGGGTGATTTACTGGGCAGATATACTGAGGCAGAACTTCATTGCTGTCCTACTAACTGACTGAGATGAATTCTGGGATAGCTTTTGCTGTCTTGCATAGTTGAAAGTTCAGGTTGAAGATGAATAGCAGATCATTTACTCGCCCTCATGCTGTTCCAAACCTGTATGACTTTTTTTTTTTTTAATCTGCAGAACACAAAATAAGATATTTCGCAAAAAAAATATTTTTTATGTCAATGGAATTTAATGTTATTTTGGACCCCAATGACTTTCAATGTATGAACAAAAACAGTTATTTTGTGTTCAGCAGAAGAAAGAAAGAAAGAGATGAAGATGAGCAAATGATGACAGAATGTTCAGTTTTTGAGTGAACTATCCTTTAAAATTTTTTTTTTCAGACACTTTGAATGTCTAAAAATCACCTCAGAAAAAGTTCTAGTATCATTTGTTTGCCTTGCTGTGATTTTTTTGGTTTTTTTTTTTATATCTAAAGCAATGAGATTAAGGTATTTAAAGTGTGACTTAAAGGTCCCATATTGTCAAAACTGAAATTTCCTGGCTTTTTTCACGATAACTGAGGTTTATGGGCTATTTAACTACCATATAAGTTTCAAAACAGTCAGTCCACAGTAAAATGCACACAAAATAAAACTCCAGAAAGGTGTACAATATTTGACCTTTAAATGTTCAAACATATTTTAGGTTGCTCGCACACATACTGACCTGCATGGTGTGAAAGACCCGTGTTTTCTCGAAGTGAAACTCAATGTCAACAGTGGGCTGGCCCAAGGTTTCCCGATTCCAGCCCACGTAATCATATCCCGGCCACACTCTCAGCTCTTTACTCTCCATGAAATCATTCCCACCTAAAACACCATCACACAACTGGCCCAATCCTCCGAACATCACCCTACGAAGAAGACAGAGACATTACAGCAGTGAAGGCATTAGGCATGTACACACACATACACACAGATGCATGTACTCACATACATGTTTGAATTTCCCATGCATACCCACATCTGGCTAGTGTCAAACTAGTTCTCCTCCATTAAAACACATCTGGGAATGTTTCTACACAATATTCGTCAACCCCACTTGACAGATACACATACATACATGAGAAAGGGCTCTGGACTTTAACATACATCACAGAAAATGAAGTCTGACAGGAGCAGGTGAGATTTGAGATGTTTACCTCAGCAAGTTCTCAACTGCTTGTTTCTGACACACAGCATGAAGCTAGGGTTGCAAACTGAGAAATGGTTCATTTTTTTCTGGTATTTTTTTCCAATATATGATTCAAATGTTTTGTTCCATCATCGGTTCTAGAATTTGCATTCTTCTACAGTTCTAAAATAGTTTGCAAGTCTGATTCCAAATGGACTCTGAGCCCGTTCTTTTTAGCGAATCAAAAACATACAAGCAAACAGTGTAGTCTAAACACTTTCTAAATGAATGACTCTCATGAGTCAGTATTTTAAGTGAATCAAACACATCCAGCTTACAACCTAAAAACAATTTTTGCAGTATGTTTCTCAAATTCAATTATTTTTTATTTATTTGTTTCTTTCTTTCTTTGTTATGCAATTCTTTGTTTATTTATGCCAGTGTTCATGTATTTGTCAATAATCATTGATTTCGGCCAAGGGAATCTTACAAACTCCATCCCTACTTAAACATACTTGTTTGTTGAACTCAACAAAATGATGATTGAAAAATTATATTTGATGGTTTCTACATCCTTTTTGTTACCAACATGTGTAGCACACACATGTACAATTTTCATGCAGATATGGAACACTTGCAGGGAGCATGAAATTCCATTCTTAAAAAATGAAAATAAACAAAGTTGCGTGTGTGTGTTTATACATTACCCTGCCTCTTTACTGCCATCATAGATGGAGTCATTAAGGTAGACAGGACTGCCTGATAGGTCCATCACATGACCCACAGGAGCGGTGTACGCCTTTAGCCCATCTAACAGAGAAGAAACACATCACTCAAAGGTAAACATCATTCCACTGCAAAATGTGCCTGATGTGAATGTAATGGAGTTGTGTGTGTGTGTGATCAGAATGATGGATTGCTTGTCATGTGTTGGACTCACCCTTCCAAACACAACCGTACAGTTCAACTCTTAGACACACGCTCATTACACGGTCTGCCAGCGGGTAGAAGCGCACCATGCGAGCTATGATGGGTGGACCCAGGTCCTTCAGGACCACGTCATATGTGTTCTCATTCCCTGACACCACCTGATCCAAAAACAGCACAGAAGAACTGTAAAATACCAAAAAAAATCCATATTCTGCTAACAAAACAGTTTAAAGTTCATACGAGGGTTACAAACCTCCTGTCCCCAGCGGTCCTTCCACATTATCCAGTGTCGTCCGTCACGAGAGTATCGCAGCCGGTAGCTACGTGCAAACTCCCGCCCGAGCCCGTCTGCGTGGCGACCCTGTGTGCCCACCAGAGACAGGAAATGAAGCTTGCGCAGATCCACCTGCAGGTACTCGGAGCTGCTGGGGAACACCGGACCAGCTGGACACCATGCCCCGTCCCCCTCTCCAGTACTCAACCTAGGACAGGACACAAAAATAAGCATTATGTACATGCTCAACTATATTGATCTAATATACATATATATACATAAAACAATTATAAATATATATATATATATATATGCACACACACACACACACACACACACACATATATACATATCTATATACACAAAACATTTAGGGATGTAACAAATAAAAAAAAATTACAAATACTTTAAATTTAGTCTACTACTGGCTAATGTTTTGATACTGTGACATTTTTATTATTATTTTTTATTACATTATTATACATTTTTTATTATTATTTTTACTATATTACAAAAATAATTATTTTTAAATTATTCTTTGTTTTGAATCATTTAAAATTTATATTTTTTTAATGAGAATTTGGTGGTACAATTAATTATCCTGAACAAAAATCTCAAACAAAACAAAAACACAATAACACACAACAAACCAAAACAAACAAAAGAAACAAGCAAAAGAAAAAACAAAACAAAAATAAATCACACAATTTGTAATTTCCTGGCAAAAAACAAACAAAACTCAGGCTAATGAGGTGATATGTGAGAGGTGAAGTCTGTGTGTAAACACCATTACCTGGTTTTGCTTTCTCACATGCCTCTAACACATACACACAACCATCTATTTTAACCAACATTTAGGCCATTTCCTCTTTTAAACTTCCTAACACACTTTCTTCACTCACAAACAAGTAATAGTCTGAGCTGTCGGCTGGCTCAGCATCAGTACTAAACGTTCCTCACTCATAGAAGAAAGAACAACACTGAATGTCCCTGCATTCAGCCACTGATATCACATAGGTGACGAGACACTGATGACAGACAGTGGAGACCACAAACACTCAAACGAAAAGAGAAATGCACCTGAAACAAGATATTCCAGTGAGGTGTGGGTACTGTCACCTCACTGAGAGCTCATTGTGACACAGCTGAGATCAAGAAACTGAGAGCAGTCTGAGATATTTCAGATTCATGACCTCAGAGTCACAGAGACACACGGATCAGTCTCAAAGACCCTTTCAAAAATCAAAATGAAATTTAGTCCACTTTGAAATGTTCTTTTGGCCAAGAATAGGACACTTAAACAAAAAGAGGCCATCAGAGTTCAGTCAAGTAAAATGATCAGTGTTGGTCCAGAGCCAATTTTCGAAATTGCAAGTGCAACAAAACTACAAACAAGGTTTGTTCCTGCAGAACATTCCACCTCTAACCAGTTAATAAAGTTTGTTTCTCTGTAATATTGTTTATTCTTTGGTAATTTAATCGGTGTTGCGGCTTTTCTTTTGTGAAGAGCGTTGGCTTGTTTTTCACTTTATATACAGAATTCAGCAGTCGTGTTGAGGAAGTAAAAATCCCATTCATTTACTCCACAGGGGAATTGATGCTTCACATTAACTTATAAACTGTTAAAGACAGACCTACTGTAAACTACATGGTTGTTAATTGATAGTATATGCATTATGTGCATTATTTCAACTTCTTTTTTTAATAATAGTGTTTAAAAGCAGACCAGGTGAAAAAAATAAAAATAAAATAAAAATGCATATATACATACATACATCATATATATATATATATATATATATATA